AGAGTCCGCGAGTGCAGAAAACACTTTTCTGTGTGTGTGTGTGTGTGTGAGTGTGTGTGACTAAGAAAACAGGCCTTTTGCTCGGGCTCAAGCGCTGCGAGATTCAGTGCATATGAAGTGAGCTTCTGGAGTCAGCTTGCTGTACAAATCTTTACTCCGCTCATCGTTCCTGACTTATCCACAGCAATCACGACAGGGTTTCATGATCTTGACAGCGGAATTCGTTCGAATGTGATAGCAGTTTCGCCTACGATGGTAGGTCTTTCCTGTCGCGACTGTTGTGAAGACTTCATTGAGTGCCGGATGGGCACGCTCGGACTGCAGCTGTTGCAACTGTAGTGAGAGCTGCTGAATCGTATTGAAGCGATTGTCGCACAGCTCACGAGACCTTTCCAGCTGCTGCCACCGCTCGTAGCTGAGGTCTTTGTAGTACTGGAGACTCTGTCTCAGCTCTGCTAACTCGACGCTGTCGGTTGACATTCCATCGCCAATGTGGGCGTTGTCCACATCCAGGTAGACAGGTGTCGTAACCGGGTCGTCGATGTCCATGTCGGTGGCCTCGTTGTGGTCGCGGCGGAGTCGTCGCCTGCAGAGATGCTGCCACCATAACTTGAATGACTGAAACAGTAGTCGTTCGGTGGAAATGATGACAATGATCATCGTAACGAGCCATTTCCACTCGTCCCATGAGGACGTCGTCGGAGCCGCAGTGGTGGTACCGGAGGTAGAGCTGGTGGTAGACGCCGAGGCCGAAGTAGCCAAAGTAGCGAACACAACCGCCAGCCACATAGATCTCGTACTGGTAGTCGCCAACATAGCAGGCACTGCCAGAGTGCTGACTTCCTTCAGGAGCTCCTTGTCCATCATGTCGAAATGTCGTTCTTCCACTGTTGGAAGTCGCGGAAGCGATCGGAGCGTCAGCTTGTGCTCACCCTCGTTGTAGAAGTCAACTATGCCGCTGCTAAGCAACTTCATCATCGGCGGTGCAAGCATAGACTTCGTCAGTGCATCGGCCGTCATCGACTCGGTTGGGCATAGGGTCATCCATCGAAGTCGTCCCAGCATCCTTGCTTCCCTGAACGCCAAGACATACAAGCGCTGATTCTTGTCCTGAGGAACCGACTTGTCGCCACTGGCCAACTCGAAGAAATCCCGGCAGTCGGTCATGCTGTCAACTGGAAGTTGCTGTAGGCCGTGTTCTTGTGCGGCGATCAGCATCTGCAGGCTGGGGCGTCCTTTGAGATACATCAACTCGGCCAGTCGCACAGACACCAGCGTACTTGCTTCCAATCCAGACACTGCCGCCAGAGTCTCAGCATGAGACGTCGAGTAGCTTATCCTCTTGGCCTTGGCACCGTGTGCCCAGAGGATATGCGCGGTGCCTCCCAGACGGTGAGTCTGGTCATCTTCGAGAATGACTTCCTCGTTGCGACTGGTTCTGGCCAGTTGGTCTTCACACAAGAGAACCAGGATACCTTCCTGAGCATGGTTCCTGACATTGCCGGCCGCCGAGGAGTCGGGGATGCAACAAAGCCGTAGTGGCTGTCGAAGTTTGCGAAGTGGAGCCCAAGATGCTGGCCTTGTTCGGCTTGGGCTCGCTTGACGACGTTATTGGCCTGCTTCAGGTGAACCACTTTGGCCTTTGTCACCTGTGACTGGAGTAGACAGACATCGGACACCAGGTCCAGCCTTGTGGCCGTAAGCCACAGTAATCCGCCCAGGATGCTGCAGAAGCTCGTGATTTCCTCCGCGGTGAGGAGGTCCTCGTCCTTCTTGCCCTTAGGAATCGGGGCCGGCTTGAGCTTCGCGCAGACATCGTCCTGCGACATGAGATAGCCGTTGGGAGTACGGCTATATAGCACTCCGCAGTGGACGAAGGGCAGCTTCTGTCGAGTGACCTTGCCGAACTTCTTGACGAGGAGCTCGTACTGCTCGTCCAGCCATTTCCGCTTGCCAGCCGCACCGCAGTCGTCCACGTGCGTAGTCACGCCTGCACTGCACTGGTCCTTGGAGTCTCTCCAGTAAAAGTAGTTCTCGTCCGTGAGCGAGGGAACTCCCTTTTGCTCCTCGAAGTGAGAGCGCAGGCACAGCTGCCAAGCCAGTGGAGCATCCGAGATGCCGTAGACTGGCTTGATGCACAAAAGCACATACTCGTTCACCCGAGTGAAGTCGATGCGAAACTTCGGGTCGAACGATGCCAGATGGCGCCAGACGTTCGCTGGGGCCACGATGGCCACTTTCCGAATGGGCGTCCTTATTCCTCGAGCTCGAAGAAGCTCGCGAACCTTTTCGAAGGAAAGCCCCTTGAGGAATGCCCCGCTAATGTCCCAGCTTTCCAGTTCCTGATCATAGACAGAAGCGGAAGAAACCAATATCCGCTGGGACAATCTCGTGGCTGTCGTGCTTCTCGTGCTTAGCAAGTCCTTTTGACGGTCAAAGCACCCTCGAGCGCACAGCCTGGATTTCACCTTTCTGCTTCCATTCGGCATGCGCTTCCACTTTCGGACCCACACCGAGTCTACCACAACGATGTCATCTGGTAGGAAGGAGCGGTGCCGAGGTTCAAAGGACTGTGTCTCCACGAACTGCTTAACCTCGGACGCATCAGCCTCTTCCACTTGGCCCCAGATGTCGTAGCAGGAGTCCTCATCGATGTTGTCCGTGCTCTCATCGACCTTGAACACTTGTCCGTTCTGCATGTCCGCGTAAAGTTCGCAGTCTTGCTTGCCAGGCCATACGAACAGGTAGTCGTGGGAAACTTTGGGCTTTTCCACATTGGACAAGTCGCCCAGCCGGCTCAAATAGGCATCCCATTGAGCCACATAGGTCGAGTTCTCGAAGGACTGCCAAATGTGCGGGTAGTCCAGGGGGATCACTTGCGTCCAGTGCATCACCCAGTACAAGTTCACCAACACATGCTGTGATCTCGTGAACACGTGGTTGGAACTGACATGGCTAAACAACTGTTCCAATCGGCTGCGTTTGCTTTCAGGAGCAATGACCACCGTCCGACTGTCTGGACCTTTCCTCTTGTGGTCGCCCTCGTTGGTGTCCATGGTGTCGTCCACAGTGGTAGTAGGTGACGTCGGTGACATGGGCACGCCGGATCGCGATGGGGTCAAGTCATCGGAGATCATGCTGTTTTCCACCCCGCTGGCATCTGGCATGGAGGAATCATCATATCCTTCAGATGGCACAACTCGGCTTGTCTTCTCCGGTTCGTAGCTGAGGAAGGCGTAATAGAAAACGTACACGAAGCACATTGAGTCAATGGTCATGACCGTGACCTTCTTCATAGTCACGGGGTTGTCGTTGTTGTGCTCGTGGCAGTGAATCTGTGCCTCTCCTTGCTTCCAGAACAGCAGAACTCCTACGGACTGCTTCGGAGGATGCAGAGTCTTGACTCCTTGTCCGAACATTGCGCCGCCAACACTCCGCCTGGACAAGGAACTTGCCACTGAGACAATGCGTCTCCATGTCTCCGCAAATGCCAGCGATGACGTCGAAGCCTTCCTCCACATCACCAGATCATCCTTCTTGTCCATGACCCAACCAACAGTAACCACCTTGTACGGGGAGAGCTGGTTGACCAAGGTCCGGAGGTACACCAGGTCTTGCTCTTGAACTCCTGACATGGTGACGAAAACGCCAGCTTGGTGCGGGCGAATGTGACGCAGTGACACCAAATACGGCCGTCCTTGGTAGCTGAGGATGGCGTTGCCTTCCGCTCTGTTCAACTTGAGGAGCTCTGCCGGTCCACGCCATCCGACATCTCCTTGAACTTCGCGATAGTAGTCCACCAGAGTGGTGCCGGGAATCAACTCGTCGAGTTTGAGCTGATGCGGTCTTGAGCGGTTTGCTCGAGCCACTCTGTCCTCAGCCACAGCAGCCTGCACCATAGAGAGAGCTGTCTGACGAATCCTCAAGGCTCGCTCGAAAGGAGTCACATCGGTTTGCAAAGCGCCCGACAGAGCCATGATGCTGTTGCCGTCCTCCTGGTAGAAGGGCCTCGGCAACACGCCAAAGACTGCCATGGAGGGAGTTGCCCCACCGTAGTTGAGGCTCATGTTGTGTGACATGGCGCACTCCCTTGCCAACTCGTGGGGCTGAATTGCTATGCCTTGTCTGTCCAATTCCGCCTCGACCTTCTTCATGGTCAGCTCCAGAAGACATATGTGTCGCTCCACCAGACCGGTTCCGGTGTGCTGCTTGCCCGCTTGGCCAGCAGTTGTTCCCTTAGGAACTCGTTCTATCTGAAGTCGTTCAAGTTCACGACCGGCCTCATGCGACATGACGCTTTGCTCCTGGTCGCTGATCAGCTGAAACGGAGGGCCGAAAACGGCTATCCAGCATTCCATCATCTTCCTCGTGACCTCCTGGAAGTCCTTCGACATCACCGAGGTTGCCGCCTTGTACCGTGTGGCCTCATCAATGATGAGCAGGATCCAGACCTCCTTGTACTGGAAGAGGTCAATCTGAACTCTGTGGTTGAAGATCCCTGCTCCAGCTCCAATCTGTACTTGTAGACGATTGGGCAACCGAACATACTTGCGGCAGATGGCACATGACATCACAGCTTCCTCCGCTAGGGGTAGTACATCCGATGTCAAGCCGGCTCGCAACAGCATGCTCTTGAAGTCGCCGATGGGAGCATGATAGAACCGCTCATGAAGGCCAAGAAGGAGCCGTCGTGCTGTTGCAGGGTCCGTCTCTATCAGGCCGCTCTGTAGCCTCTTAAACACTCTCTTGAAGTCGAAGAGGGGCTTGATGGTCTTGTCGCCGTCGTCGGTTTCCTGCTGAACCGCTTCAAATTCTTCTCCTTCATCAAGTGGTGGCTCTGGCTCTTCATCCTCTGCTACTTCATTGCCACCTGGGTTCCTCCCATCATTCTTTCTTTCGGCAGAAACCACAGACGGAGAGAAGGGCGCAGCAGGACAGCACGCGAGGAGGAACCGCGAGGACCATCAGGATCACCATCATCCGGTTGATGTCCCACCAGATCGGCCCCGGTGTCGCCAGGCCGGACTCCAAACAAATGGAAATGCCAGTCGGCCTCGTCCACTTCGGCATGGAGTTGTCCATGACTCAGCTGGAAGGTGTCGATGCACGTACGAAGCATCTGCAGTAGCGCCGCCTTCAAGAAGAGACGCTGCTCGCTGTCCAACGGAACACTGCGATCACACTCCAGAGAAACTCGAGAATAATCGCCGTTGCGGGCCAAAAACTTGAAAGGGCCCGTGACTGATTCCAAGTCGGTCGTCCTAGGCGCTGGAGTGGTCGTAGGTGTTGTAGCTGACGGTGGTGCCTCTGGAGGTTCCGCAGGTGTCGCCGGAACAGAAGTCGTGGGTCCTGCGGCAGTTGCAGGGGCATCACCCTGTTGGCGAGCGCGTCGCATGCCAGGTTGACCGTAGCGACATTGGCCCACTGGTGGTGCTGCACGACCTCTTTGACATTTCTCACAGGAGTAGTAGAGCGAGTGGGTCCATAGCAGCTCGGCCGGCCAAGGTTTACAACCCATAGCGTTGTCCTTCCGCAGTGTGGCCCACAGATCCTGTCCGTACAACTGACAAAACCGCTTGGGATACACTGCTGCCTTCGCCGTACGATTGACCCCGCGAACTTGTCCCTGAAGAATGCCGTGCGGTACTCCACGATGGTTGTCACATCTTTTGACAACTTGTTTCCATCGGCGATTGCTGAGGATGGCTGTTGATTTCCGCACTGGCTGGTTCTTCTCGTCACGAGCTCCAAGCATGCACTGATCTGTCCTCCAAACTCGAACTCCTTCAACTTCACGTAGTCGAGCAAGGGGTCTGTCCACCAGCATGTCGGATCCATAAGGCTGCTCCAAGCTGAAACCCCGCTTAGAGTTGTGCTGGCGCAGCATGATCTCGTAGAGGAACTCCAAGGTGGGCAGCTCTCCGCGTCGCTCGCCTTGTCGCAGTTCAGGATTCTTTGAGCTGGAGGCATTCGTCCAAGGAGTGCATGTTGGTGCTCCAAAGATGTGAGCTGGCTGAAACTCCTGATAGCAGTGACGAAGTAATTCGTGATGTTGTGGTAGAGCAAGATCCCAGCCGTAGCGGTAGTCCACGGGGAATCCTATCATCATCGACGCTGTCAAGAGCATCAGGCTCAACCGGCCACTGCCTGAACACAACTCCCAGAACTGCCATCTCAAGCCCTTTCCGGAGGAGGCCCGAAGCCAGGCTGTCACGTTACGCGGCGTGACGGGCTTCTGCCGGTTTTCGTGTAGAACTCCTCCGGGATGGCCCTGTACTTCTCCTGCATCGATTGGCACCGTTCCTCCGACCAGTGGTCCGGAAACATGTCTCCACTGTAGCTTGGAAAGTCTTGTGGATTCAGCTTTGTTGTGTGTGCCTTGGTCACTTCTGGCTCGTCCTTGATGACCTTCTTCTTCTTCATCTTGAACACGGTCCGTCCTGTCCACAGCCGCTCCATGTCTCGGTTTGGATTTTGAGACTTCCTCCAGTCGTCTGATAGTACTGTCTCGCCGCACTTCCTGGGGATCATCTGCATGTACGTGGTGCGCTCTTGGAGTAAGTACTCCGGTGCCACTGGAAAGTCTGCGGCACACTGAGGTGTGAACAGAATGCGTCTCGGCACCGAGTGGTGTCGCACCAAGTGTCCTTCCTCAACGGACCAGCTGTCGATCAACGGAAGCGGTTTCGGAACTTCCTGTGGACCGTCAAGAAACGGCTTGCCTGGAAGTGCAGTGTGAGACATATCAACACTGACTCCGGCTGTGGGGGACCCAGACTGTGATGATGCCAACTTCATAAAAACGCCAGAGGTAGTCGATGTGGTAGTCTTCGGATTCGAGCCTGCCAACAAAGAACTATCTAAATTCTCTGCAGAAGCCGTAGTGGAGATTGAGCCCGTGATTGTTGTGGTTGAGGTCGCTGGAGAGCTGTCCGGTTCGCTGGTGGTCGAAGTACCAGGTTCACTGGTAACAGAGGTAGTCGAGGTGGTAGTCTCCAATGGATTCGAGTCTGCCTTGTCATCCAGCGCATTGGTCTCTCCTGGTTTGCACCGCTCACGTTCCCGACTTTTGCACTGCAGGAAGCAGTGCCTCACATCACTCCATCTTGCTTCGATGTCTCGGGACCATGTGAACATGTGACCTGCCACCTCGCTCTTTGTGTGTTGCGACACCGGACGTTGATCGTCCGTCGGGAGAAGGTAGTGCCCCGAGTCCGTCAAGAGCAACCGCAGGTACGACCAACTCTGACTGCTGGTAGTCGCACTGTTCCCGGGCACAACCATCACGCCATCACCGTTGGCGAAGTAGTCGCAAAGGATCGCTGCCCGCTGTTTTCTTAGTGCGACAACAAGGCCGGGCACAGAGATCCTTCACCTCCCAAGACGTCTGCTGAGAAGAGTCCTGGGGAGTCGCCCAAGTGCAATGGCAAATGCACTTCTCCAAGCGTCTCTTCTGGAGTGCCAGAGATGCCACTGACGTTGTTTGTCTTCTCGTGGCACCATCGAACTTCTCCAGCATCATAACACACGCAGTGCTCGAGTAGGTCTCTGAGCGTTTCACTTCCTATCAGACCTGACGCAGCACCCGGATCCACCAGTAGCCCTCGTCTTTTCTCGCCGCGCACCGTATGGAAGGAGGCCGTGTGGTTGTAGACCTCCGTGGTGAAAGTGGCGAAGGTGAAGTCGAGCTTCTTGGGAACTGGAGCCACTGGTTCCTGGCTGCTTGTAGCTCTCTCTGATGCCGGCTCCTCGTTCCTGTTCTTAAGCGAGATCACCGGGTTGTGATCGTCGTGGTCCATGCAGAAGTGCACGGTCTTGGCGGGCTTCTCCGGGGTCCAAGATGTCTTGCCAACATTGAAACTCTGAGTGAGAGTTTTCTCTGCGTAGCCGTGGTAGCCCTTGGACTTGCCTTTGCCTTTGCGAGGCTGCCACTTGCCTTTCCCTTTGCCCTTGGACTTGGAGTAGCCCTTCTTGCCCTTGCCGTATCCACCGTCGCCGTAGCCCTTGCCGTAGCCTTTCGACGGCCCCTTCGAGCCGCTCTTGCCTTTTGCGCCTCCGACCGGGCACGACGATGCATTGTGCCAGCGGGATCCGCACACCGAGCAGCCGTAACCCTTTCCTTTCATGGGAAAGCTTTCAGAGGCTTTCGGCGAGGTCGTTCCATCAGGGTTCTCACCGTGCTGCTCGGCCGCCTCGTTGTGGTAATCCGGGTGGTCGTCGTAGTTCACGTCGTAGTCCGTTTCCAACCAGCCCTCATCGGCTTCGTACCAGGACTCAAGGTCATAGTCGTAGTAGCCCTCGGAATCGTCCAGCCAGTAGTCTTGGCTCTCGACCCAAGACCATCCATCATCTGCCCAGTATGCATCACTCCATTCTTCGTCGCGGTCTGGGCTTTCAAAGTCGTCCTGGTAGTAGGCTTCTCCATGCTCGTCCTTCCGGGTGATGAGCCTCTCAGCGCGAGGCCCCTCGCCTCCTGGAATCGCCGAAGATTTCCTTGAAGCTGCAGCTTGATGTCATCAACGAACTTCGTCGGCAATCCTGCTCCTCTGAAGAAAACGTAGAACTTGCCGACCTCGTTCAGCTCCAAGCCTGCTCTCGTCGTTGCCTCCTCAAGCCTGGCGTCCCACTCTATGCTGTACTCCGCAAGGCTCAGCTTGCCTCTCTTGAACTCGAAGAACTCCTCTATGGCCTTGCTCACCAGTTCCTGGTCGCTCAGGCCAAAGGCATCACGAAGAGCATTGCATAAGGCTTGAACTCCGGAGGGGATCGCTTGCTGTATCACCGTTCCTGGGTCCATAGGATCTCGCACTTCCTCGACCGATAAACGGACGAGCGCGTCAGATGCGACGTCTATTGTCCCGTCCGGTCTGGGCAATCTCAATTGCATGCCCAATCGTTGAGCTTTGCCCTGCAGCCTTCCCGCTACCAGCGGGCCAACCATTTCGTCTTGACCAGCGAAAATCCTGTACCAGAGTTTCAGTCTCTCGAAGTAAGTTCTGAGGGGATAATCTGGTATCCCCGGCGCCCATCCTGGAGGAACTTCCCGTCTGAACTCGTGCAACGGGATGCCTCCGGAACTCATGTTCTCCGTCATGATGCTGTTCAGGTAGAACAAGGGGTCCTCGTAGTTGAACTTGAACTCCTGGCCGTAAGTCTCGAAACTCACTAGGAGCCCAGAGAACACCTTCTGAATCCTTCCAGAGCACGTCCAAGTTCCTGGCACCGCTGTGTCCACGTAGTCCCGGGTCGTTGTCTTCTTCGTCAGGAGAATCGGGTAATCGGAGAATTCAAGAAGAAAGAGAAGGTTCACGTGGCTCACGTAGAGCTCTGGGTCGTTGTGCTCGTAGTACTCAGTGTCGTGGGAGTGAACTCCTGCTGCCCCAGAAGCAGCTTCGAATTTCCTTTGGTTGCTGGGCACAGCGATGCCCGTCGTCAGTAGAAGCAACCAAGCCAAAACGCGGGTTGTCGGCAGCGTCCCGGTTGGTTCCTCGCGGGCGCCGCCGTCAGCAGCGCAGGGCTCTGGCACGCCCTCGGTAGCCCTGGGTCGTCTGGATTTACACGGAGCAAGCTCCGCTACCAAACTAAGAAAACAGGCCTTTTGCTCGGGCTCAAGCGCTGCGAGATTCAGTGCATATGAAGTGAGCTTCTGGAGTCAGCTTGCTGTACAAATCTTTACTGTGTGTGTGTGTGTGTGTGTGTGTGTGTGTGTGGTGTGTGTGTGGTGTGTGTGTGTGTGTGTGTGTGTGTGTGTGTGGTGTGTGGTGGGTGTGTGTGTGTGTGTGTGTGTGTGAGTGTGTGTGTGTGTGAGTGTGTGTGTGTGTGTGTG